ATATCAAATTTGTAATCTTTTTTAGAAAATAAGTCATAAGAACTAATTTGGGATAAACTATTTAGTTTTCTGGAGGGAGTTCATGTTTTTTAAATGCTTAAATTCAAATTTATTGAGTCTAAAATTAATTTTCAGATCTTCAAAATTTCTACATAGGGTGCATTTTGCAATCGTTTTTTCGCACAGTTTTTATTTTAAATTTCAAAGCTATAAAAATAATTGCCAAAATTGTCAATACTGGAAATCTCAAAATGATTTTTGTGTTCAAAAAGTATTTTTGTGAAATGCAATCTTCGAAGCGAATAACTTTTGAAATTACGTTTTGTAGAAACTCTAAGTAATACCAGTTAATCGCAATTATGAATAGAGTTGGTACAGAAATTAACTTTCACAAAATTGTAATCTGCTATTATTATGAATGAAAATACTGGAAGATTAGTTTTCGAAAAATCGATTATTCTACTGATCAGTATTCGATTAATTGATCAAAATAACTATTAGATCAATCACAGTTTGATCGTTAGGTCAATTTTATGTTCAAAATTAGCATGATTTTAATATTCAGAACTTGAAAAAAGAATCGGCAAGGATTCTAACGCTATAAAATTTGCTTTTTACTAGCTTTTTTCGCTGCAAAATATTATTACGTGCGTTGTAAATAGCTCTCCTTCACAGCTGCATTTCAGATCATTGTGATTATCAATCATAGTTCTGCATCTTTTGATAATTCTCAAACAAATCAATCAATATTTTTATTTTAAATTTTTAATGATAAATTGTAGCTTACCCGATCACAAGAAAAGACTTTTATTTTCATCAAATTCTGTTTTTGAATCACCTTAAACTCCATTTGTGATTTTTCTTATCTGGAAATGCAGAAGTATAATTATTTAACTCGTTATAATTATTTTTTCAGATCAGTTGCTAATATTTATTATCACTTTTTGCGTAAAATCACGAAAATTTGCCAAGTTCGGAAATTGTCATGTGAAGTTTAATTCATAATCTAGTTTTGTTGTCATAATCTAATGTCATATGAATTTGTGAAAATATAATCTAAGGTCAATTTTTGATTTAGTGGTAATAGATTCGATGTCAAAGACTGAATTATTCGTTTCTTGTTTCAAGACAGCAAAAGTTATCAACACTGTTGCGATTTGATTCTTTGACAATTCACATAAAAATTTGTAAGGCAATGGAATTAGATGATTCTAAAAGTCAGTCAACGCTAGCATGATCCTTCTGAAAGTTCAATTGAAGAAACCAAGCAGAGCAACCTGAAATGATTTATATTTATTAATCTTAACAAATAATGCTTTCAAATTTACTTATTCCAAACTTTTAACTTTGCTCATTCATAAGTTATTTTGTTTGCTTTCATTTTGATGTAAAATTATTTTTGTGTTTAAAAGAACAAACTTTCACATCTGTGCTTATTTTTCAATTAATTTAAAATTGTCAGTTATCTGAAATCAATCTTTTCAATTTTTTTATTGAATAATTTTAATAATTTTTCCGCCACACATCTACTTTTACCGTTCTCGAAAATTTTCTAGTAAATTTGTATTTTTAATTTGATCTAGACAGTCAATTTCAATTCATTTTAAAAGATTGCTTTGAATTTTCACTTGCTCAATTGCTAGATTTGTATTTTCATTCGAATAGAAATGATAAAAATCCAAAATAAACGCAAAAATTATTCTTAACAAACTGATGAGTCTGATTTATGACCTGAAGCAAAGATTGCTATAGATGATCTACAATTTTAGAACTGAAGCGTAAGTCAATACTGGTGATCTACAATTATTTCAGGTCAGTGGGATTACTCTCACATATATTTTCACTTATTTATGTTGTGCTGTGTTGTTATCGGTATAAATATATTTTGGCATCACGTAACAAATGAAGCATTTCAGAATCAACTAAATTTTTAAATAAATTTTTATTTTATAAATTAGAACAAAAATTTATTTAAAAATTGTTTTAAAGCTATTTTCGTGTCATTTACGTTTGTTTGTTATACTCAAAATGTTGACTTTAACGTAGCAAAATTGTTCAAGAAATGTGAAGCTTTTGCTTTGACTACAATCTGAGGAATGTTTGATTAAAAGAACGTACAAAATGTTAGTTCCAACTTGGAAATAATAATAATAATAATAATTTTTATCCAAGAATGATTACTTTGTAGTGAAGTAAGTAGTCAACAAGTATTCACAAAATCCCCTATAAATAATTTATTACTCGTTTCAAATTCAAAAATAATTTTATTTTTGATGAGTAACTTGAAATGCATAATAGGTTATTTAATTATTTTTTACAGTAAAATTCCAGCACTATCCTTATTTTTTTATAGTAATAATTTTTACAAATACATCTAATATATTTATTCATATCTGAAAAAGTTTGCTCAGTGTTTCAAACTTAGCCGCAATGATTTGTATGTTTAGAATAATTCTGAAAGTTGTTAAAAGAAATAGAACAAAAGTGTAAACTAGAATTTTAACTATTTTTAGAGTGGAATAAAAATTTTAAATATTTTACTGGAGCAATTTCTGAGTATATACTCGTTTTGAGAAGAATAATTGAGTAAATAAATGAATTCAGAAGTATTTCGTTTAGTATAAATGCAAGATTGATCTATGTCATAGATTATAATTCAATTAGTTACTTATTTTGGATAGACAATCAGGCAGTAATTGAGTTTTTAATTAAATTCCTTCAACATTCACAAATTTACTACTGAATAAACTAGTTTTTTTGCACAGTTTTGATATTTTCCTGTAAATTAAACTAAATTTGAATGATTTTTAATGCTGTTCTTTGCGTTGCTCACATTCTCAATATTAGTATTATAATAATTTAGTATACACATTTGTATGAAAGATATTCTTTGCCTTTGCAAAGCATTATAAAATTATTATTTTGATTGCTTCAAATTCACAAATTTGATATATCTTACTTCTGTGAAGTTAATTCTACCCAGTTCGCATCTATAAAACGAACCTTACTCAGATTCTTGTATCTCTAGAACTGAAATTTAATTACTTTTTGATTCATATTTTAGTATTCAAATTATTTTTTGGTTCATATTTTAGTATTCAGGTTATTTTTTGATCCATATTTTAGTATTCAAATTATTTTTGCCTCATACTTTAGTATTCCTTTGTATTCAAATTCGGCACTAAACGGCTGTAATTTTTAAATAATTATAAAAATTGCAACTTACGGAAACTTTATTAAACTCATTTCCGACATTTTTGATTTCAAAAAAATTTTGCAGTGCAATTCGCGCTTAAATGAATGAGCTAACATTTGCTTTAGCTTGTAAAAAAATTAGAGCTTCGATGAATTTATCCGAATAATTTTCAATTTTTTTTGAAAAATATTGCTCAGAAAAAATAAGTCTGTATAATTTATCGTTTTAATTAGGCAAAGAATGTCAAAAAGTTTGTTTACTAATAACTATAAGTTTTACAAAAAGATATCTTTTCCTATTCACGCTGAAAGAATTACGCTAAAGTGTAAAATGGCCAGTAGATTTGTTGAATTATTTATGTTCAGAAAAAATATACTCATCTTTCAAGTAAATATTATTACTGTATGAATGCATAAATTGTGAGTACTTTACTTGCTTGCAAACAACAGTTAGCATTGGATAAATGAGTGAATTAATTAATTAATTAACGTTCTACGAATTTTGACTAATTAATTAATTAGCTAATTCTAGCTAATTAATAAACTAGTTAGCTAAAATGAGCAAATAAACATAAATCTTTATGCATACCTATTAATTTATAAACAGAATATAATTTCTTATGCAAAACTTGAACTGAAAATATTATCTGAATTTAAAAAAATTTTTGAATCCTAGAAAGTAGCATCTTTTATTTTATGTAGTACAGTGCAACTTCAGATTAAAATGGGTAGCAAATGTTTGGAGAAATTTTCAGAACCTAAAAAGATAAACAAAAATCAAGCTATCAGAATCCCAAACGTACCTGCTTTTTAAGTGTGTTTATTTTTTGATGAGTAAGTCAGAGTTTTTTAATTTGCTTCTATTATACGGATTTTCACACAATAATATCTCAACCATCCCAAATCGCTATATCATATCGTTAATTTGGTAATGATCTACCTGATACGTGGAATCACATAGACCAGCAGCAATAGAAAGTGAAAGTGCTCCTTTCTGGAGGTGAGACAATAATTTTCATACAGCATTTTAACGCATCTTCTTTTTATTTGCAGGCAATTCAATATTTCCTTGCTAGCGCCTGTTTTTATCAGTTATTCTTATCAGTCCTTCATTAATTATACCTTCTCCCTAGTTAATTATTCCTATTTTGCCATTACCAGAGTTCAGTGATTTCTTCTGTACCGGGGCTTGTGATATGATTATCATAAAACATAAAATATCACTTTCTTTGCTATGTTTCATATTTAGAATTCGCGGTACGGACATCATTTTGAATGATTCCATTTTTTAGCTTTCCATATTTTTTTACTCAGAAAGTCTTTGTTATCAAAACTTTAAGTAATTTGAGTTTTCTTGGTACCAAACATGTGGTAATAAATTTTGGCATCAAATTTTAGTATTTTGGATTTTTTTGGTACCAGTGGTAACGAATTTTTAGTATCAAATTTTTTAATTATAAACTTGGAGGTAATTTGTTTTGTCTTAGTATCAAAAAAATAGTCCTTTAATGGTGTAACATGTGCACTTTCAAGTTTTGTGTGCAAAAGCTATAGGTTGTTTCATTACTGAAACGTTAGAAGTATTATATTTTAATTACTTTAAAAGATTTAAGCGCGAAATTGCTTTACCTTTTTTAAATTTCTGATATTAAACAGTTTATATTCTATCCATTACACTGATCGTAATCGTTTATACGGTCGTCTCAAGTGTGTAAATGATTTTTTTATCTGATCACAAATAAATTTTTGCAAAAATTTTTTTTTGATTACACCATGAAACTGCCGCTATTTTCTAGTAAAATTAAATGTCAGTGTATCATAATGTTAGTCTTGTGAAGTGAGTTGAAATCTTCCTTGTAATGACTCACGTATTTACGTGTTTTGCTTCTTTTGAAGCTCTCAAGGAAAAGTTTTCATTTTTTTTATAAAATCATAAAAGTTTTTCAAATTTTCGGTTCTGCATTATTTGCGATGTCTAAACGAAAAACGACCAATCATTGATACATTTTCCGTTACTGCTTTCTCTTGATTTCTACGAATTATTCTCAAATGTTGCTACTTTCTTGGTTTTTGTTATTTGACGTTTCAAACTCTGTTCGCCTGTATCTGTAAGCTTATTTTTATTTTGCTGCTGATCAATCTGCATCACATCTGCATATGGTAAAACATTTTAATAAATTTGAATCTGTGCTTGAAGTAATATTTTTCAATCTTCACTCGAAATATATATATATATTCATGTATAGTTATTGATTTATTAATTTACTTATATTTTATATATCTGTAATTTTCTAATTTTCACTCCATGCTTAATACAAAATCTTCATATTCGAAGTAGAATATATGTTGTAGATATTATTGATCTTAAAGTTCGATTTTTAGATCTTTATCTTGATTTTGGTTAATTTCTCTTGATAACTTGTACAAAGTACGAAATGTATGAATATAAAATTTTTCGCAGTGCAGAGCTTGGTTTATTTTGTATTAGTTACTGTTCACTCATATATGAAGATACCTTTATAAAAAGTTTGAACTATATAATTTTGATATGATTATTAATATAGATAATTTAAGCATATATTTCGTTTGACAAATTTTATAGTTGTTGTTTCAGGCAAAACTTGAACGGGTATTAGGTTGTACAGCAGTTTCACGGTCGTCAGTAGCCGTAGATGATAATAAAGGCACTGTAGCATATCCAGCTGGGTAAAATTTAGCATTATTTCAAATAATATTTGTTTAACTTTGCATCGTAATAAATTGTTCAAGAGATAACAGTTTTTATAATGAACTAATAAACTGTATATAGTCAATTTTTTAGGGCTACTGTTATTCTTTATAATCCACGGACTAATGCTCAAACTCACTTGGTTGGTACGACGAAAAACAGTATTACATGTTTGTCGTTTTCTTCATGTGGACGATATATAGCCACCGGAGAGGTGTTTACATACAGCTTTGTTTTCATGTTATATATTATCCATCTAAGAAAAAGAATTTTATTGAAAAATTTCGAAGTGCATTGCAGTAATCTAATAGTTTTTTATTATGTTTAGAGTGGGCATGAGCCTCGATTACGAATCTGGGAACTATATGATGCAAAAGGACAGTTTGGTTTCATTCAGGTTGCTGATATAAAGCATCATCAGTTAGGGATCAGCTGTGTGGTTAGTTATATTGTCATTAGCTTTCATTAATGGTACTTAAGCTTATAAAATTTTGAAAAAAATTTTTTGTGATAACGAAGTTTTGTGCAATTTCTTTTTCCTGGTAAACTGCTTATTGTTTCTAGCGTTTCACAATCCACGGATATTTGGTATCTGTAGGAAATCAACACGATCGTTCTATCGTAGTTTGGAATTGGCGAACACAGCAAAAAATAGCTGAAAATCGTTTAACTTCAAAAGTATTCTTTTTGGTTCCACTATCAGCTTTAATAAATCGTACCAATTTTTATTCATTTGTTGATTTAATACATATTATCAATATTTTTTCAATAAAAACTAAAAAATTTTCAATTTGCGATTTGGATTCGCTCTTGCAGCTGAAGTTTCGTCTTTTACACTATTTTACACGTTTCACAGAAATGTTTAGTCACAAAATGTAATGAGTTTCAGGTTCATTCAATCGATGTAACAGCACAAGGCGGGTGCGTGACAGTTGGTATCAGACATGTCAAGTTTTGGCACATTGCTAAAAAACAGGAGAGTTCTAAAAGTGTGCCTTTACAGGTATAGCATTCATAGTTTTTGTATTTTATCCATTTCGTTATCTTCCAGATTTAATTAAATTTAGTTTAACTTTTGATGTTTGCCTTATTTCTTCTGTTTATTCACCCAGGTTTAATTCCGTAATTATGCGTCTGAAAAATCATATTGAAAAAGCACTTTTAGGGTCGTTCAGCAATTTTGGCTGATCAAAGAAATAATACTTTCTTGGATGTTTGTTGCGCTTCCGACAATCGAACATTTTCAATCACTGAAACCAGCTTGTTGGTTGAATTTCATGATAAGAAGGTGTCAGAAAAATTTCAAAAATTAAGTTTTAAATCAAATTTTGCCCTTGATATTTAAAGATTATAACTTGCTTTTAGTTGGTAAACACATATGATTTGCATGGAGAAATTCCGCGCTCAATCGTGCTTGGAAATGATGAGTTGTTTATTGGTTTCAATAACGGTTTTATAAGATGTTTGAATATCGCAACGATGAAGCATAAATTTACGTTTTGTAAACCTCACCATTTATCATTTGATGTTGCGAAAGGTATAGGACAAGATTCACTCTCATCTCATTCCCATCCAGATGGATGCAGGTTAATTATAATTGTATTTTGAAAATCAAAATTTGGAGTACTTTGCTGTCATTTTGGTCTTCATCATGCGTGATTTCAAGTTTGAAGTCCATAATTTATAGATATCCTGATGTACGTGCATTAACATATAACAAGAAAAATGGTACGCTTACGGTGGTTTACAGCGATCGATCTATTTATACTTGGAAGCGAACTGATCAAAGTTTTCTCAAAATTTCTTCACAGCTTTTCCATGTTGGACCAGTAATTTCATTAGAGGTAGTTGATACACATATCGATTCGATCTATTCTGCCATACATACTATAAAAGAAAAGGAAAACAAGTGTTATAGGTTTATCCACCAAATTCCAATTGGTTGCCTCAAGGATCCTTTATCACTGGTGGTGTTGACGAGACGATTCGCATTTGGAATGTCGATCGACGATTAACATCTATGAATAAGGTTTTTGTTTGGTGTAAAAAGCATGTGACTTGTTATTACTCAAGTTTATATTTTCGTCGACTGCAATTCATCCTATTTTTTCAGAATGAATGTAATTCTTTGCCATATTACAATGTCTTTTCGGAGGATCTGAAAAAAATTATTTTCCTCAGCAACAATGATTCTCAACTTAATGAGTCACCAGACGGTAATTTTCAGTTTTATGGTTATAGTTTTAATGAAATTGGTTAGGCTGAAATAGAACGCCTCAGTACTTTGTTGTGCTATTAGTCAAAGTATATTTAAAAGTTTTGAAATATTTCGATCTTTTTATTTTAATAGTAACATTGTCTTGATTTTGTTCTTTTGTTTTGCTATTTACAATAGCTTCATTCCAGAAGTTTTGGGTGCTTCTTTATCTGATGCCGGGAGTGGTGTTAAATCACTTAAAGTAAGTCCTGATGGAAGGCACTTAGCAGCAGGTGGCCGAGATGGAAATTTATCGTGCGTTTTTTTGTTTTCTCGTTACAAAGCAGTAGTGATGCTGGTAATCATGTTTTTCAATACGTCAGTTCAAGAATATCAATTCTCTTTACGGTTCATTACATCGCTTTTTAGAGTTTATGACTTGACTGTACCCGACATAATAATGATCGCGTTTTTCGAAGCTCATGAAAGTGACATTATGTGTATGGAATATTCAGATCCACAGAGTGGTATGTTGTGTCTTACTGATCAAATCAGCCTTTTTAATTGGATAATTGTATTCATATTTTGAATCAAAAAACAAAGAGCTGATTTTGCGGCATGTATCTTTCGGGATAAATTGTTTCGTTGTCAGCTCAGGTAATTTGAAGTGTAAAGTTGATGTGGACATAATTTTTTACTTTAGTTCGCTACTTGCTAGCTACCGGAAGTCGAGACCGCATGGTTCATTTGTTTGATCCTATCAACAGCTACAAACCTCTCGCTAGTATTGACGATCACAGCAGTACCGTCAATTCTATACTTTTTATTCAGGTAGGTTTTACTGTCACCAGCCACTAAATAAGTTTCCGTATTCTTTTAATTGGTACTGTTCTTATCTCAAAATGATATGAATATTTCAGCAAATAAATAATTTGCATCTAATAAGTTCCGCTGCTGATCGTTCAATCGTAATCAGAAAGTTGGTCGATTCAAAGGTTATTTTAATATCAGATTAAGATTTTGGGACCACAAATATGTTCACTATATGATATTTCTAATAAAAAGTATATGACTCGGACAGAAAGTATTTGATTAATGAATACTAAAGTACTTTAAGTGAAACTTCATTATGTTCGAAATGAATGATATTTACGGCTTGCTATTTCAGTGAGTTTCAGTATTTTCTTCGCGTTAAAATTTGTCTTAGTTTTCTTTTCAGTTGTAGTATACATTGTGTCATTTTATGCTAGAGTCTTGCAGCCCTCTTCAATAACTTTCTCACGTGTGACTCACATAAAATCTCATTTTGGCTTGAATTGTGTAGTGCCAAACACCGAAGGTATGGTAGCTGCTTGTCAGGATCGTCAACTTCGGACATATTCGTTTCAAGGAAAACTTGTGAAGCAAATCAAGGGTTCTTCAAGTGATGATGGACAGCTCACCAGGGTTATACTTTTTTCGATTTCAAAATAGATCAAGGGAGGAAGAATTTATGAAGTTGGTAGTAGCTGTAATTCAAAAAACTTTATCACATTTTTATTTTAACGGAATTTATGCAGGTGGCGCTAGATCCATCAGGTATTTATGCTGCGACAGTCTGTACAAATAAGAACGTTTATATTGTTGATTTGAACACTGGGGAGTCTGCTGCAGTACTTACTGGTCAGTCGGACAATATCATGGATATAGCATTTTCCACTGACTGCAGGTTAGTGGTAGTATGAAAATTTTGGATATGATTAAATTTTTCAGATCATATATGGTCTCAAAATTTCTGCATTCTCAGGTAAATAGTCTAAAGATTGTGTGGGTTAAAAAGGATATAAATTAAAGTTATGTCTTGATAAATTTTTTGATGAGGATTTTAGTTAACAGTGTTTACTTTTGAAAAGCATATATTAGAATGAAGTCTATTTTTTCGATGCTAGAATTGGTGGGAAAACACTTCGTTCAAAAAGCATTTTTCAAAATTTGTTCATTTTTTATCACGCTTTGTTAATCATTATCGCTCACTTAAATCATTCAGTAATAGCTTCTGCTATTCGTTGTCCTGTCAATATAATTTTTTAAGTTTGTCTGCAAGAGTTTAACCTGAATAATGCAGTTTTCGTCTAAGGTTTTTTTAGTTAAAAAAATTTAGACCAAAAAAGGCATTGCAACAAATTTTAAGGAAGATGTAGAATTCAACAACTTTACAAGCTAAAGTTTTTTTTTCATGCTTAAAAATTTTTCCATGTTGTGAATGCCACGGAAAATATGTTTTTAATTGAAACATATATATTGCAGACATTTGTATGTTGTCTCCTACAGCGGTTGCATTTTTGTGTGGAGATTATCCAATTTTCTGGTCAATAAAATGTTGGCAGCTTTGTCGAAGAATCAAGGTGTCAGAATTGATTCAATGACAACTGATAAAGTTGATGAAAGGTAAATAAAATCATGCGGAAAGAGTGGCGTAAAGTGAAATCATTTAATCATTATACGTTTACTTGATTTGATTCCACTATTAATTGTTAAAAGGGTTTTAGTTGAAGGTACGAAAGATGTTTTATGGTAATAATGTTTCGTCGGAAGTTGTTTGATAATTTGAAATTTCTTTAAAAAAAGTGTCATTGTTATTAACAGGTCAGAGACACCTGATAGTTTGCTGGGAAGCGGTAGTGACGCTGTTAGTGATGAACATATGGAATACTTTCAAAATGCGAAGGTTAGTCATATTTTTCTAATTCCTCTTTAGTTCGTGTTACATTAATTTGGTTAAAAAGCTGTGAATACACAAGAAAAGTCTTTAGATAACTTAATTTCTTTTAAACTTGAAATTTTGTCCTATTTTTTTTCTGACTGAATGACGAAAAAATAACAGCATGAAAGTTATTTCTTTTAAATATGCTAATATTTATTATTGTAGAGGAAGAATTCAGAATCCGAATTCGGTTCATTAAATAGCTTGAAAATTTATGATGAAAATTCGGACAGCTGTATTGAGCAGAAATCAATTGCTGTGATTGTGGAGGCTCCATGCACTGGAACGATAATTGAGTAGGATTTCTTTTTTTCTCATTGTCTCCAACAGTTTTGATTTCAATCATTTCTCCATCATATACTGAGCATTTGTAAAAAGCAAATACGAATTTTTATTAAATTTTGTCATAAAGACAACGTTTTTTTGGAACTTATTGTCAAAAATGAATGGTTACTTTGTTGTTTTATAATCTTTATTAATGTTTAATAATATCTATGACGCAGCTTTATGTAATCAGCTCACAAAAAAAGTGACTATGTATTGTTCTTATCAGTAAACATATTTGGTGGCTATCAAGTTAGTTTTATCGACATAAGCAGTTGTGAAGATGATTAAAAAACTGTGAAATCGAAAGAACGGGTACGTAAAAACAATTTTTCACCAATGAGTGTCAGTAGTTTGTTTTCTTTTTTGCTTCACTTTTGTTTATGATGTAAATTGAATTCCTTGAATCTCTTGACTTGTGTACAATGTAATACAACTATAAAATCAGTTCAGAAGATGCATCTTTTTCACTTACATCTTATTTACATTTTAATTTTAACATAAACAACATGAAAGTCGGGTTGCCGAGAGATCTAAATTTAATTTTGTTTTCTTTTCATTACAAAAATTTAAAAGCTCTCAAAAATTGACTGTTTTTAGTTTCATTATTTTTTCATTTATTAGATTAATTATTTGGCAACTCATAAGAATCTTAACTTCACTCCTAATAATTGAGCTAACAATTCGCCTCATTTTTACTTATATTCATTTGCAGTTTACTATTTGTTCAGTTGTTGACAGCTGTTGTCTCTTTTCTTTAAACAAAACTTCAGTGGCTTTTTATCAGCTCTGCGACTGTTTAACCAAATGTGCGTTAAACTAAGCTCCGATAAATAATTAATGCAGCTATACAAAGAGATAAACTGGGATAGAAAAAATCTTTCTTCTAACTAAAAAAATGTAAACAGTTTTTGATTGATTAAGGCCGTGTTAAGCTTATTTTTTAATACTGTTATATTCCCTCCTCTCTATCAAAGTTTTCACTGGATTAGATTTCTATGTATGAATTTATTGGTATATTACATATCACAGTTATATTCCTGATTTTTCCATATCTGACTCATCATAATTTCGCTATTTATAACTCCAGTATGCTGTTATATTTTTATATTTATGATCTTACTGATCGATTATTGTTATTATTAGAAAAAGTTTTTATTTATTGGATGTTTACTCTCATGCTTTCAAATTTTTATTAGGAATTTAAAAAATTCGTATTACAGGTTTTTATAATTCACTTTGGACATTTCAGCTCTAGCAGCTGTTGTGTTACTAAGATAGGCAATCTTAACAAACAGTGCAGT